TGGAACTTGGGTCCCCTCCTCTTCGGGGCTGGGCAGAAAGCTCCCTCAGCCTTGCAGTCTGTCTCGGGGCTGGTATTGGTGTTTAACCTGTTGGGTGTTAAATATAGTCTTGTTCCTATTGCCCCTGCCCCAGTAGAAGGGAGGCCCCGAGGTTAGGAAGGCTCTTGAACCACTCATCTGAGGCCTATTCAGCATCTGTACAAATAAACACACACACACACACACACACACACCCTCCCACACACACATGAGACACCGGCCCCATGTGTCTACATGCCTTCCTGCACCTTTGGTCCCCTTACAGGGGCTCCTGGCCCCCTCTTTGGCCTTGGTCTCCTTCTGCTCCTTGCTCTGTATCTTGGCTTTGCTCCATGTCTGGGCTGCATACCAAATTACCAATCAAAAGGATAATAAAAAAGCCAGTGAGGCAAAGCGGCACATACATTCCAAATACTAATGTTGATAATTATATGCTGTTGCCTGGAGGGGAAACTTCAAGAGCGGCCACTGGTATTGTGTCAAGAGCCCTGGCCTGGGCACCAAGAGACCTGAGTCTAGTCTTTGTCATTAATTGTCTGTGCGCATGTAGGCAGTCCCTAATTTCCCTGAGCTTTTGCTTCCCTAGGTTTCCAAGTTTCCTCAGCAGCTTTGAAGAAACTATTGGGCAATCAGCACTAAGAATTTTCTTTGAGAAAATGACCTCTTACCTCTCACAAGATAGAGGGAGTGGCTCAGAAACTGAAGAACCTATAACGTTGCAAAGTTTTCATTCCATTTCACACTCCCTTCCTTTCTCATCAAGCTCTCCCAGCTTTGTAAGGAAGGTCAGATCACCCCTGGACTCTAGAGAAGACAAGGTATAAGCCATAGTCAGGGGCCTTGAAGAGCTGAAGGGTGGTGGGGTAGAAAGACATGTTAACCAACAATTCCAGCACATTGCGATCAGTGCTATTCTAGGGTAAGTGAAAAGTGCACAGAGAAGGACACAATTAGCTCTGCCTGAGAAGTCCCTGAAGGCTTACTGGAGGAGGTGACATTTGAGCTGAGTTTTTCTAAAGGATGAGACATTCACCAGGAAGATCAGGAGAGGAGGACATTCCGGGTAGAAAGGCTGGAATGAAGAGACAAGGCTGGAAGACTGGAGAGAAAGCTAGGAGTGTCCAGTGAGGAGATGGTGAGAACAAGGCAGAGTCAGTAGGATGGAGAGCAGGAGACAGGCTTGAGACACTTCTCGGGGGGAACAGAGAGGAGAGATGGGTTGTAGGCATCAAGAGCAATGTTGGGCCTGGTCTGTGTGACTCAGTACTTGAGCATTGACCTATGAACCAGGCGGTCACGGTTCAATTCCTGGTCAGGGCACATGCCCAGTTTGCAGGCTTGATCCCCAGTGAGGGGCATGTGGGAGGTAGCCGATCAATGATTCTCTCTCATCATTGATGTTTCTATCTCTCTCTCCCTCTCCCTTCCTCTTTAGAATCAATAAAAAATTAAAAAAGAGTAATGCTGGGGCGTCCTGCTTCTGGGAAGCTGATGCTACCTCCAAGAATGAGGGGAACAAATTCTGCTTACCCTGTAATGTTGTTGAGTGCTATAAACCTCTTAGTTTCTATTTTTTTATACTGTCTGTTTCAATTTTATTCTGCCTTTAGTTCCTAGGGATTTTTCTTGGGCACCCAAAACCTCCCATCTTATCTTGAATGTCTTAGTGGAAAAGGGAAAGGCTCATGCGTGGGCCAGGAGAGTTCAGTGGGGGCAGAGCAGTCCTGGAAGGCTTCCCGGAGGAGATAGCAGGTGTCCTAGCTGGGACCAGAGCAAGGTGCACAGAAAAGAGACAAAGTAGGCACTGGGTGAAAACCTTGAAGAAGATGCCTTTATGTCCTGTTCTGTTCCCACCTCTCTGATATTCTCAAGGAGAATCCTATGGGCTCTTTTTTTTGTTGGAGTCTGTTCTGGTTGCTAATTTCCACCTAGGGACTTCCCCTCGTAAGCTCTTTCATGCACAGACTTTTAGCTCTTTCTTCAAGGGGTTGATTTGCTCATAGCTTTCCCAAGGACATGTACATCAGCACCAAGTGTGGGGACATCTGCTTCACCACCTGCATCAACAGGCCACACATTGGAAGTGATGTTCCCCATAAGAGGGGAGGCGAGCCCCACCTCCAGCCCAGTGAGCTCAGTACCTCCAAGTCAAGCTCATGGTCAAGGCCACATGGGTGTCTGGGTATAAGCAGGTCGTGGGGACCTGCTTATACCCAGTTCTTGATTCTAATAAACATCTATCATTCCCACATTACCGGTGAGAGAAATGTGTCTCAGAGAGCAACACTCAGTCAAAGGAAAGAGGCGTGAAATTGATGCATGATCCTGCCTTTTCCCTGTCCTTGAAGCTTCTGCCAGCCAGTGTGTGTGTGTGTGTGTGTGTGTGTGTGTGTGTGTAGGGTAGTGTGTGCTTGTCCCGAGGTGACTTTCTTAGGAAAGACTTTTCTCCCTCTATGTGTAGAAAAACACTTCCGACTGATAACCACTGATCAAGCACTTAATGTGTTTAGGGAACAGCGTGGGTCCTGAGGGTACACAGAGTTAAAAGATATGGGCCTGGTCATCAGACACAGCGTTATTTTAGCTGTGGAATAGGCCAAATACACACAAATATAAAGAGGTGACAAGCCCGAGTTCTTTAACGGTGCCCTGCCTGTACATGTGTTGTTCTGTTTCCTTGAAATCCGCCACCACACTCACCCACAGGTCCCTAAAATCTCAGCTCAGGTGTTTCCTCCTCAGCCTGGGCTGGATTCCCCTCCTCTAGCTTCCTGTAATATTCTGTATTGCCTACCACAGGAATCAACACACTATCCTTTTATTTTTTTATTTTTTTTAGGAAAGGAAGGCAGCAAGTGAGTTCCGTTTAACACACTATCCTTTTAAATCTTACTTGCCTCTCTCTCTCCCACCTGACTCTGAGCTTCACGGAGGACAGGGCTGTATTGTTCATCTTCGGTACCTAGCTTGTGTCTGGCGTAAGTAGACACTTAATAGACATCTGTTTAAAAGAAAAAAAGCAACCATTCCCCTTGTACTGCCTCCAGCATATAAGCTCTAAGGTTCCTTGCAGCTCTCACGTACTGTGACTTTATGCTTGCCAGTCGAGGCATTGTTTTCATTGGGGCTGGATCTGGCTTGCCTTATTAGTGAAGGAAACCACCTCACCGCTGCCCCCCTTTCTCCCTCAGGGACAGAAACATAATCCCAGCAGGAACAACAGTGGCCACCTGTGGCTTACTTCACCTCCCTTTTATTCGAGTGACCGGGGCTGGCAGGAGTCCACTCCTAACAAGTTCTCTGCCCAGTTACCTGATTGCTGGTAAAGGGATCAAAGTTTTGCCACCCCAAAGTGTGCCCCTTGTTGTATTGATTTTAAGCTAGTTATTGAAAAACAAATGACTCAATAAGAAATGTTGACCCTCCCCCTGACTGAAGCAATTCAGATTTTTAAAAAAATCTACCCTACACACACACACACACACACACACACACACACATCCCCCACACACTGGCTGGCAGAAGCTTCAAGGACAGGGAAAAGGAGGGAGGGAACCTTACCATGATCACCTTAGAACACATGAATTAGCACATATGTGACAGACAGGAAGAAACATT